GGGGGTCTGACAGTTCGCAACCTTTGAATTACAAAATTCTATCAGACACTTTTATAGAGTTATTAAGACCATGGGGTCAGAAACCAAATGTTCTATCTGCTCTATCAAAGCCGAAAGATTACTCGGAGTCGTTGTCAAGATATAAGAGAAACAGAAAGGCAAATAGAAAGGGCGAAAGGGAAAGACAGACAGACATGCTTTAATATAAAACAAAACAGCAAAGAAAAATCGAAACGAGGGCTCGACGAAAGCAAAATGGAAAGGAAAGCTCCGGGAACGCAGAATGGTAGGCTACCATATTATCAATTCTTTAAAAAGAAATTAAATTTTTAAAAATAAATAAGTGAATGCAAAATCAACATTAAATGTCTTCGCTTTTTTCCCCCGTCATACGAACACGTGCATAACATAATGGAAGGGTGAATAAGAAGTTTACTGTAAGCTGGGCACTAAACTGCCTTGTTTCTATTTTATTTTGTGGTTGCTGATTGCTGTTTATTTTTGTTTTGTTTTGTTTTGTTGGGGGGGGGTTACGGAGCATAAAAACGTATGAGCCCGCGGGACACACTTAAAAATTTATGTTGTGGTTGGAATTAATTTTGAATTTCGCCCTTATCCGAGAAGGTTAGCCGTGTTTGATCTTGCCTACCACTAGACATTGGTGTGGCTGAAAGACATCAGTTAGAATTAGAAGGAGCCATGAGTAACAGTAGAAAGAGTCCGAGCCCAGAAGAGTGGGGGAAGTAGACAGAAAGTGAATATGAGAGCCAGATGACAGAACAGGATGAGAGAGCAGAAAAGGAGGGGAAAGGGGAAAATGTTGGTAAAGCACAGCTGTTCAAACTTCAAACTGCGGATAGATCTAATGGCGCCATAGTCTTCTATACCACTTCCGGTAGGCAACTTTTGCCGCTGAGATTATAATGAGAAGATCACTGTACGGAACCGGCTTGCTGGTGTCGCGACTTCATTGGCAGAGATAGAATCTATTCTATTTCCGTATCGACTGAACCCATTATGTTATTATATCGATACCATGACTTCATGCTTCATTCAAAGATTGTGATTGTTTTTCTATCATTGTGTTTTTAGTTGTTGTGTGTGTTTTTTAAAAGTTTTGTTTGCTTGGGGGTTTTTTTGTTTGCTTTGCTTTGTTGGTGTAGGGGAGGAGAGGATGCTTTCGGTTTTTTTAGGGAGGGGAACAGGCTTCTCTTTTTTTTCTCTTTTTTTTTCTTTTTTTTTGGGGGGGTTGGGGTTGTTGGATTTTTAAAAGAGATGTTTCAATTTAAAAATCCGCCTAAAACTCGATATTATGCTTCTCAATCTATATATTTTTTTTTTAACAACTGTACATTACAACAAACAAATGAAAACCAAACAGATCCTGGCACATATTTCTGACACTGTCTTTGGGTTCGTTTCGTAGCCTAAAT